TACGGGGGGGGCCCCTCGGCGCACGGCGGGGGGGGGCGCCGGATGCCGGCGGTCAGACCGAGAGCCCGATGTGGGGCCGCCGAGCCGGAGCCGATGAGAACAGAGCGGACGTCACGCCCAGCCGGTTTCGACAAAACGGTGGCGACGGCGCTATTGTCGGCGGGGTCGCGGGGACGCCGGCGACCCGCACGAAGCTGCCGAGGGCCCCTAGCGGAAGCATCCCCGAGGACTGGGCGGCGGAGGCCGCGGCCGAGAGAGGGTCGCGAAGAGGCGGGAGAGGAGGAGGAACAGATGCTGCCGGGGCAGACGGCGACAGCAGCAGCATCAGCAGCAGCAGTAGTAGTCCTGTCCGTGTGAGCAGCGTCGACATGGTGATCGAGGAAGCGATAGCCATGAGCGCCACTGCGTCCTCTGCCCACGACCAAGGCGGCTTCTTCCCAGACGAAACCGGTAGTTGTCGCGGCGACGAGGATGTGTGGATGGGCGGCGGGAGCACCGTAGGATCAACGTCGGCGGCAGCAGCAGCAGCAACCCCGCGATCAGCAGCTGGGGTTGGTCAAGCCGGGGGGTTGGGCTACACCGGGGACTACGGGATCAGCAGCAGCGTTGGCAGCGAGGAGAGCGAAATGCCACCGAGCATGCCGGGCCTGAGACTCGATAGGAGGACCATCGATCAGGAAGACGTGACGCTAACCGGCCTTCCGAGCTACGAAGAGGTGGTGGGGGTTGCGTGAATGGAAGAGGGGTACCAGTACTAGCACCGCGGTATGGCGTGGTGCGGGGCCCAAGCCATACCATGTCGTTTGGGACACGTCGGTGACTATTGCAGAGTTAAACGTTGTGGGAGCTACGGCTTGTTTCGATCCCAGCTTTTGCAATACAATATGCTTCTGCTGCATTAGCTGTTGTGTTTGTATGTTGTCATTCCAAGCTGCGTGTGAGCGGCAGTTTTGATGTCGCACATGATTTTCTCGCCCTCACACCAAACGATCACACAGGAAAGAACTGGTAAACCAAACGTTCATGTTAATTTTTCTCTCTCGTTCAGTCCACTGGTGTGTAGATACGATTTTTTTTTTTTGTTGGCTGGCTAGCATCTTTGGTAGCTTGTACCCGCCTGCGCTCACCAGGCTGATTTGTATTTTGTGTTCGACCCCTCGAGGTATGCAGACTTGAAGGCCCGATAAAATCGGCACGAGTTTAAGGAAGTCGTCGTTGCTGCAACGGTATCATAGTGGAGATGAGTACAGAAGGGTGTCGCGGCACAGCACTGACCCACTACTGTTTTTATTTCCTACACTATTTTTAGAAAGCTACCAAAATCACCACCGTGTGCAGCATTTTACACCTCTTGTACATGTGAGTGGCGGAGGCGTTTTGTTCTTTTGTTTTGGAGGCGGGTGTTGTGTGTTGCGGCTCATCCCGCAGTTTCGTCGAGAGGCCAGCATGTACCGTTTGGGAGTTTTTACTCGTGTTTCTCGGAAGTAGGTGAACAGGTTTTGTGAAAGGGTAAATTTCCATGGGTTGTAGTTTAGAAGCACTTTATGTTTTATCCATGTTTATCGTGAAAGTTGGAGTTTTCTGTGCTGGCGGCAGTACAGCACTCCCGACCAGAATCAATGCATATACGAATGTTGTTCGATTGTTTCGGCGACAAATGTGTCGTCAGGCCGGGCCGCATATATACGTGCGGAAAGTGAGCCCCCCCCTACAGGGGTTGTTGCCTGTCGGCCAGGCGTCTTGGTTTGGCGGGAGTCGTTCTCTTCACGGATTGCTAAACGATGCCCTACTGCTGCTGTGCGCTCATAGCTACGCTCATTGCTATCTGGGGTGTAGGAACCCGTCGCGGGTGCCCGTGGACTTTTTGACAGTCTCTATTTCTTGGAAGGGGTGCAAGTCACTTGGGCCTGTAGCCAGAGACGCCCAGACCACCCACACCAAAAAGGAGTGAGCCCGGCCCGAATCAAAGAAGAAATGGCGGGCTTTCAGTACGTTACGCGAAAGGTTCGGCAAGTTCGGGACAAGCCTACCTGACAGTAGTGAAGGCTGAATACAAAATGCCCACGTTCCATTCTTGGGGGCCAAAAGGTTTTTGGAGCCAAGTCCGGCGCCAGGGGGGCAGCCGTTCCGTTGGCTACGATCAGCATTCATTCACGAAATGTTTGTGTCCCAACCAATTCTCCAACAATGCTCATTCAACCTGATAGGCACCAAGTGACTGCTGTAGGGCGGACAGCAAGCGCGCGCGCATGCACACGGTCGCTCGCCAAAACCCCGCGCGCTGGTAAAGCCCACAGCACTCAGACGTACACCTTCGTCCTCGCCGAGGTGGGACCTCCCCGTGTACCGGCCCCTCGACGCGCGCTACGATCGCTACTCTTGGCGCCTCACGGCCTCCAGCAAACACAGGTTGCTCGATGGCAAATAATCCGGGTGGCACTCCTGAGATGACGACGACAAGCGCGAAGGAATAATAAGCCACAGCGACAACATGGGAGTTACCACATCTCGTCCAAGCGGGAAGGACATTATTA